CCCGTCCTCCTCAGCCTCTTCGTCTTCCTCCTCGCCGCCGCCGCCACCTTCTCGAGGTTCATTCCTGAGATAAAAGCAAGGTATGACTACGGCGTCACCATCTTCATCCTCACCTTCAGTTTGGTCGCGGTGTCGAGTTATCGGGTGGAGGAGCTTGTGACTTTGGCTCAGCAGAGGCTGTCGACGGTGGCGATCGGAGTTGGGATTTGTTTGGTCACGACCGTGTTGGTGTTTCCGGTGTGGGCCGGAGAGGATCTTCACATGCTTATTTCCGGAAATATAGAGAAGCTTGCTCAATTCTTAGAAGGTATATAGTAGCTAACTTACCAGAGCATTACGTTCAATATCTTGTATACAGATTTATCATCTCATCTAGCAAAATGAGCCGCCAACTCATAATTAAAAATGTTCTTTAGCAACTTGTATTCATTTTTTTTATTACATACGATTCCAGCTATATTTAGTATAACAAAGTTAGCTAGTTTAATTGATTCACTAAATTAAGTAGATTCTAAAAGATTCCTCGGGCCATTATGTAATTGGACTCGGATTTTATTGACCATAAAGAATGCAAATCATTAAAATGGCCGGCCTTCTCGTAGCTGGCCAGATCTATGTAGTGTATTTTCATGATAACTAAAGAGAAAGTATATATATTTATTGATTTTCGAACATTAAAATTGTGCTTCTAGCTAGCTAGAGAGGGTGAAAATAGTAACTTTTGACATGGGGAAATATTTAACAGCAAACATGTTGTTTTATTTACAGGATTGGGATCTGAGTACTTTGAGGAGAAGGAATGCGAAAATTTGGAGGGCAAATCTTTTCTCCGAGTTTACAAGAGTGTGCTCAACTCAAAAACCTCAGAGGAATCTTTGGTAAGTAAATCCAAACAAACAAACGCATGCAACATGCACTTGTAAACTTTTTCCTTAATTTTTAGCGAATATATATAATCTCAAAGATATTGCACATACATACCGAAATTTCGTGCATGTGCAAATAAACTTTAAATAATTAATTAATGTTATAAGTTTGCGTATTCTGCAGGCAAATTTTGCAAGATGGGAGCCTGGTCATGGAAATTTCAGCTTTCGGTATCCATGGAGACAATATTTGAAAATTGGAGGTCTAAGTCGTCAATGTGCGTATTCCCTTGAAGTTCTCACTAACTACCTAATAACTGTTGATAGAGCTCCAAACTCAGAGTTCCACAAAAATATCCGACCCATTTGCTCCGAAATGAGCTCCGAATCCGCTAAGGCCTTAACGGACCTCGCATGCTCAATGCGGGACATGACGTCACCCTCAGCCGCCACCCTGCACTTGGCCAATGCGTTGGCGGCGCCGGAATAGCTGAGACGCGTGCCGGAGGGCGGGGCCGTCTTTGACGTCATCCGGTCGGCGATCACTGCCTCTCTCTTAGCACAAGTAGTAAAATGTATTCATCAGATAGCGGGTTCGGTTGATGAGCTCGCCCGGATTGCCCGATTCAAAAAAACCGAACTCGAATCTGAACCCGAACCCGAATCTGAGCCCGAACCCGAAATCAAAGTTAAATTGGAGGGTTCTTCACATGTAGTGATTGATGTGAAGCAGTGAATGCAGAGAGCTTACTGTGGTGACTTTCACTGTAACAAGGGATAAAATTATACAAAATAAATAAATTGAACAATGTTGG